TGGCAACTCAAAAAATATATAAATATATATTTTATAAAATATAATATTTGAAAATTAAATTCGGGTAAGGCCATTAGTTTGATGTGTTTCAATTCTGGGTCTTGAGGAAAAATTTGGCGGGGAAATCAGCTTCTGTTCTTTGTCACTAGAAGTGTCCTCAGGGGGTGTCCTGGCACCCCTGCTTCTTTTGTGTGCCCAAGACTTCTGAGGAGTGGTTGGAAACCCAGCTGAGGGATGGAGGTGGAGGGTTCAAGGACACACACACGTACGCTGTGCTGTGTGCTCATTCAGTCAGCGTTTTGTGATATCTGTTCTCAGGCACCAGCATATGTAATAAGTTGACTTTAATAGGTGCTTCTCTTTTTGGCTTTTATTGGTATCGTTATGATATATAAAATTTGTCATGCTATTTAGTTTGCTTTTATTTTCCTGGTTTTTGGAAACTTAAAAGAAGATATTTTAAACCTGCCTTTGTATTTCTTTTAGACATATTAATGTCTCTGAATCCCTGTTTTCAGTTCTGTGTAAACACAATCCTACTTAACTCAGGTGGAGAATGGAATGTGAGTTGGATTTTTGATGTTGTTTACACAAGACATTGGCGCGCAGTAGGAGGTGGTATTCATTTTGATGAGGAATAATTACAATAATGCCATTGAGACAAATGCCTCAAATTGACTTTATGGAATACAGCCTAATTAACTTTTAGTCTTAATGGGATGTTAGCACTAGTGAGGATGATCGCTTTTTCCTTTAAGCAAGTATCAATTATGCTGAATTGAGTCGGCTGTAAACCACTCAGCGGCTTCTAGGCCTTCTTCAAGATATGGAGAAGCCTGAGTCAAAGATCAGATGACTCAGGGATTACTGAGTATACTTCCAGCTGCAGCGTGTAGGGCGTTCACTTACATTTGACTCCATTCTGTAATGGTGAATGGAAAACATTCCACAGTGTCCTGCATGGGACGATTTTGAGTTTGTAGCCAGAATGCAAGTGCTAAACTTTTGCTAGATTAAAATGGTTATGATGGATAATTATCTTAGGGCCTTGCTTTTGTGTCCCACTGTCACAGATTTAAAGGAATTAGTGGATGTATCATGATAGACTTTATATGAATGCCAATGAAATGCCAGTTTTGATGTCCACCATTGGGCCGCCCCCCACCCCGTTCAAATGTTTGGTTTGCTTCCTTAGAACTCTTTTCTGAGTGCAGGTAGAGCTTCAAACCTCTACTTCAAATGCTTTGTTTGCTTCCTTTAGGCTCTTTTCTGGATGCAGGGAACTTCTTAAAGATATAAGAGAACTTAATCTCTTATATTTCTGGCTCTTACTTTGTCAAGCATGCGCCTGCCTTTCTGCTCTAGGGCAGGGCTCAGAAACAGGCACCAGCTACCTGGCTGGCGCCAAGGTTGTGAAAGCAGATGCTTGGCTGCTTGAGACATGAAAGAACTGCCACGGTGCATGCTGCTGCCTGTCACCTGATGAGGAAGAGGAGCCGCAGGGACAGCTGAGAAGTGCTTGTGCTTTCAAGGAGCCTCAGTGATATGTGGAGACAACACTGCTCAATCCCACTGAAGGGCCTAGAAGGTAGTTCAGCTTGGTTCCAGCCAACTCAAGCCTCAGGCTTGTATGTGTCACCTATGATTATATATGTACACGTGTTTCTGATTGGTGGGCAGTGCCGTTCTCTGCAAGGGCACATTTCTTTTTTCTTCCTTTAATAAGTGTTTTACTATGTCTAAGCAAGTGTGAATTTGTTATAAGCCACCATGTGGCTGTGAGGACTACGTGTTCACGTGTTCCTCTGTGTACTTTCTGGACAAGCTGCCCACCCATCAAGGAGGTGCTGGTCATGGGCGCTGCTTGAATGCTGAGCTGCTGTGTCATTTTCTGTGCTTTGGTTCTAAATTCATAAAGTGGTGAATCAATTTGATATTCTTTGAGCTAAACTTGCCTTGTTTGAACTTTGCATCTAAATGAGAGTATTGAAGCAAGTAGCTGGGACACAAAGGCCCCTTCCTAGACTCTTGTTCCTTGTTGATAGGGAAGGATTTCAGAAGGAAGTGGGGCCACAGTCCTGTTACCCCAGCATTAATACTGTTGTATCTACTACTGTTATTTGTTTATGCCCAGTTCTGTCATCTCCACTGAACTGCGTGAGTGATGGTGTGTATGGGTGAATGTGAACAGTTTTATATGTGGGTATGTATGTGTATTTTAAAATATTCTATAAACGTTTCCACATACCTCTACCCTCAGCTTCTAGAGCAAAGCTCTAATTTTATGGTTGCTAGTTGAAAAATGGATTTTAATATACTGAACTTTTTAGAAAACACTTTGGAGAAATTATCCTCTTCTGTACCTGAAGGAACTCCTGTTCATAAGTGGTATTGACATAAAACTCTCTACCCTGTTGGGAAGTATGTTTTGGGCTATGATTATTACTGACAAGGGGCAAACCACCCAGTTCAGCAGATATTTACTGAGCATGCAGGATTCTTCAAGAGGCCTTATGCAAAGGGACAAGAGGTGCGGAGATGACAACTTTTGAGACACTTATAATGTACAAGTCTAGGGGTTGTTTTTGTGTTTATCCATGTGACAGCTCAAAAGGAGCAACTGCAAGCAGGTATAAAACATATACCCTACAGGTTGCTGGTTTGTAGCACAAACCCTTATGGCAGCTGTAAAGCCGAAACTAACGTTCAGAGTGCGGTTAGAGCAGCCATCCAAAGTGCCAGATACCAGCATGAGATCATCCAGTTAACTGCCCCATTTCACAGATGAGATGGCAGCTTTTTACTTTAGAGGCCCTTAGGGCTATCTTTTGTGGTTTTGATTTGCATTTCCCTAATGACTAATGATTTTGAGCATCTTTTCATGTGCTTATTGGCCACTTTATGTCTTCTTTGAAGAAATATCTATTCCGATCCATTACTCGTTTCTTATTGGGTGAGCGTTGTAGATAACTGTGGGCACAGAGTGAAAGAAAGGCCTCTTAAACTTTTCTGCCAAATTATTCTACAAAGTTGATACTAAGACTCATGAGTCACTCTCAAAAAAGAAGTAATAATAGTAACAAAGTGCTTTTATTTTTTAACAGCTTTTTTTTTTTTTTTTTTTTTGCTGAGAAAGATTCGCCCTGAGCTAACATCTTTGTCAGTCTTCTTCTATTTTGTATGTGGGTTGCCACCACAGCATGGCCGCCAACGAGTGGTGTAGGTCCGTGCCCGAGAACCGATCCCTGGCCACCGAGGCGGAGTGTGCCGATCTTAACCACTAGGCCATGGGGCTGGCTCTACGAAGTGCTTTTAAATACTCTGTTTCCAATAATAGCATCCCCCGATACCCTGAGAGGTAATTATCATTATCCCCTATTATATGCAAAAGAGTAAACAGACTCTAGGGTAAAATTTTGCATTTACAGGTAGTTTTCTGGTTAAAATGCTCATGGGGGGCCGGCCCTGTGGCTTGGCGGTTAAGTGCGTGCGCTCCGCTGCCGGCGGCCCGGGTTCGGGTCCCGGGTGCGCACCGAGGCACCACTCCTCCAGCCATGCTGAGGCCGCGTCCCACATACAGCAACTAGAAGGATGTGCAGCTATGACAGACAACTATGTACCTGGGGCTTTGGGGGAAAAATAAATAAATAAAATCTTTAAAAAAAAAAAAAAATGCTCATGGTTTTCATTAGGCACCCAAAGGAGTACCCCAAAAAAGTACAGAGCAACTGTTCCAGATCTTAGCTTCTTCCATAAGACCACAGACATGTGAGGGATTCAAAAATATGATGCTATTACCACTAGACCACACTATCTCCGGGGCCGAGGCTATGAAGAGTTTCTCTTCCTGGAAGGGGCTGTGCTTCTGAGTGGAGGTGTACAGTCATGCATTGCTGGACATTTAGCATTCCTGACTGCTACCCATTAATTGCCAGATATGATAATAAAAAAGCCCTTAGTGGGC